TTTATTAATGCTCTTATTGCTAAATTATATTATTGCATTTACCAGTACTGCTGCTTATTCGTGGGTATTTCTTGTTAACCATTACCTTGGCCGTCTAACTCTCCTGACCTTTGGTGCTGCCTCTCCCCCCAAAGTTGACGAGTGTGTGCTGTCTAGAGGCTGGCTTTCTTCCTTTCTCCTGCCGCCCTTGTCACCACAAAGAACGCGAATTTCTATATAGAAGTGACATCTTTGTTTTTTTATCAAAATGAGGTCATACAATATTTGCCCTTTGGTACTTATTTCCCTCAGCATAAGTCCTTCAAAGTCATCATGTGTCTTTCTCAGACTCATTTATTCTGTATAGCTATGTGGTTTCTGTTGTTTGTATGTGCTGCATTTTATGTATTCATCCATTGTGGGATGCTCTTCCCGCCCCGCCCCCGCCAGTCGTTTTGCTGTTGTGAATGATAAAATGATCATGCTGTGCATGTATCTTTTTGGATTAAGCTATTAAATCTCTTGGGAGGTGTGGGAAACTTAAGAGTAGGCCTTGAGGAGCACAGAGACCTCTAGCTTTTAAAGGACGCAGCCTACCATTCCCATCCACAGTGAATTAGGATTTATTGTTTTTCCTTCTTCTTTGGTCATTGCCATTATTGCAAGGGTGAGATAATATTCCATTATTTTTATTGGCAACATTCTGATGACTAATGCTCATGAGCATCTTTTCATATGTCTGTTGAGTTTTTTATGTATTTGCCATGACTTCTTTTTTTGTCACATCGTTCACTTTTTCAGTTGCCACTTTGACATTTGAATTTTCTTTTTAGTTTATTTCCATTTGAGAAATGCCTACTGTGTGCTTCCCTTTTGGTTTCTAAGGGTAAACAGATTGTGCTTTCTTTCCTAACATGACTTAGACTTTATTCAATTTTTCATTTTTCTTTTAGCTGGCAGCTTATACTTGAGCTTGCTGAATCTTTTACAGTGGACAGTGAGCCTCATTGCCTTTTTCACCTGAGCAGGATGCCCTGCCTAGTCTTTTGATCTGGTTGGGAAAGATACTATAAGAAGGTGCTTCATAAAGTTTGTGGGAAAATTGCTGTTGCAGTTACATAATCTGTCAACTTGTGATGGGTGGAGTCTAGTTAGACAGGGTTCTCTAGAGAAACAAAGCCAGGACACTAATGATTTTATATATAGCCATAGATATAGATATATTGATATAGCATAAGAAATAAACAATCTATAAAGTAGTACAAATGGCTCAGTGCAACTCACTTCCATGAGACAGCTAATACACCAGCAGTTCGGCAGTCCTTCAAGTCTTGAGGGCCGCCGGATAGTCCTCTGTAGAGTAATTCAGGTTATTTGGCCACAGGCAGCAAACAGCAAGGCATGTCACCAACAGTCAGCCAGATGACAGGGTCCGACAGTCCCCAACTCAAGCAATGTATACTCCAGTAGCATGGCAAAGCAGGAACCTCAAACTACAGTGACACAGTCCATGGGTTAGGTGTCCCAAAGGTAGTATAGTTTGCAAATTCAGGCAAAAAACAAGGTAAGGCAGCAGCACACTGGGCCGAACATCAAAGAGCAAGACAAGAACGACAAGGCTTGCCGAGCCATTTATTTCTCTGCCCTTCAATTAGCCCCACATGTGTTCATTGGCCAGGTTGGTACAATAAACCTACCTATCAATCAGGTTGCAGCTTGGTTATCTCATTTGGAGGTGTGAAGGAGATAAATAGTTCACTGGAGGCCAGACACTCTCTCTGTCTCCCTGCGAGACATTCCTGTTGACAACCCACATGGAGCTATGCTGATGGCAGACAGAGCCCTGGAACTGGAGGAGCCACTTGGAGACTCCTGCCAGCGCTGAGATGCTTCCACTACCACTGGATCCACAAGACTTTCCACCCACTGGCCTGTGATCTCCCTGCATTCAGCATCATTGCATTTGTTGAGTGAGTCTAAAGAAGATTTTATCAACTATCCTTGGACATATGGGCTAATACCGGACTTATGGACTTGATCTGGACTGGGCTGGGATGTTTTCTTATGCAATTGATCTTTGATATAAAGCTCTCTCTTAAACACATGAGTGTCTTCTCTGAATTTGTTTCCTTAGTCAACCCAAACTAACCCAATTGCATTATCATTTCTGTGCATTTTTCCATCAACTTTTTAAGACCCCTCGTATCTTTATTGCTCTTTCCTATCAACATTTTAAAGTTTAAAATTTAGTGATGTTTTAGTATATTCATTGTTTTACAACTGTCATCACTATTCTAATTCCAGAACATTTCAATCACTATGAAAAGAAACATTATACCCACTCCCCCTCTTCAGCTTGTCCCATGGAAACCGCTCATACTTTTTGTCCCTATGAATTTGTCTCTTTTGGACTTTTATTATAAATGGAATCATAAAATGTGTGTGGTCATTGACATTGTATTTTATAAGGCCATTTACTATAAGTCTTTCAATGCATAGTATAGAAAAAAGTGGGTAATGCTTTGCTTGTAACTTATGAAGCAACCCATGAATAATTACCCTGAATATGCATCATCCATAAGATAAAACAATGTTTCCTGAGATTACATTAATGATACAGTAATACAGGAAAAGGAACAAGGCAATGGGTTGGAGGATTCAGTGAAAAACAGGAGAGAACTAGGTAAGGTATTTGGATTTGAATAGGGTGACAGTTGAATGGTTATTCTGCAAGATTGTGACTGATCACATCTGTGAGCCTGATTTACTGCTCTTTGCACCTACCACCTTATCTTGATTATAACTGGCAATGAACAGTCATTCGTTGAATTACCAAAAAAGTTCTGAACAAGATAAATCTCTTTTGAGTCTTGAAAAGACAGAGACATCAGAAAACTCAGGTGGTTCTGCCAAAATTGAAAAAACCTTTAATGAAGGTTAAATAAAACACAGATCTGAGTGGTTCTACATTTGTGCATAAAAATGTTACTTGTTTATCAATAATAGCTAGTCAATCTTTGGAGGTGAGACTTTTACCAGGATTTGTATAGCAGTAAAGAACCTGCATTTACTGAGGCATTTTAAAAGATGTCACACAATTCACAACCCTAAGCAGAAAATGAACAAATATTTATTAAGTGTCCATATTACCCAATGGGTGTTGGTCAAGGCTTTCTATCCCATAAAGAATTACAGGTTCAGAAATCCACAGGGGCAGGTCTACCTTATCTTGCAAGGTCGCTATGAGTCTGCATGTAATATGACACTTGTAGCTGTATCCTGTGGCTATATGATTTCAAGTTTCTGAAGTTGATGTCTTTTTTGGTTATGTTTTTGTTCATTTAGAGAACTGTTTTTTATATGGAGAACTTAATTACCCTATGTTAAATATATTATCTGATGATTGTGATAATGTACTCTTGCTCTGTCACAGGTGTTAGAGCAAAAGTTAGGTGTGTGACTCTTTCATCCTCTTTCCCCGCGCTTCTCACCTCCAGGTATTTGGCAGGCCAGAGAAACAGAAAATTTGTTGACTAGAGAAACAAATTCAGTGACACTCATGTATAAGAAAGAGCTTTACATCAAGAAGTAATTATATATTGAGAAAATGTACCAGCTCAATCCAACTCAAGTTCCTGAGTCCATAGGTCCCTCTTCAGACTCATGCAGCCACATTCAATGATGCAGAATGGAGGAATATCACAGGCCAGTGGGTGTGAGTGCAGTTTTGTGGATCCACTGGTGGTGGACACATCTCCAGGGCTCAGCCTGCCACCAGGGTCAGCCACAAAGAAGAGTGAAGGCAGAGAGAGAAAGGGAGGTTCCCAGGGCCCTCTTGATGAGAAAGCCATGCCCACACGGAGTCCCCATCATGCTGTGATCTAATTGAAAGGCTCAACTCCACTCCTACACTTTGATGTATCTTTAAGTTGACCTGATTACTACAAGGTACCTCTTGACTAAATTTATGTATATTTAAAATGCGAACAATGCTGTTTCATGGTTTAATTATCCACCTTGGTTAGTATGATATAGTTCTCAAGTCTCAATCAATCGCAGTAAATACCCACATGCTTTTACTAATAAGAATTGTTATTCTGGGAGGTCCTGATTATATAACAACAGGTTTTTGTTGTTTGGTTTGTAGCATCTGTTAAGGTCACTACTTATAAATTAAAATTGTTATTTTAGTTTTTGTGTGTGGACAAAGGAAAAGAGATTAAATTAACGTGTAGTGTGTTCACTTGTGATATTTTAATTGACATGAATAAAAGGACGATAATGACTCTATTTCTAGGAAAATGTGAAATAATGATATTGATGAATATCTACGTGCTGATTTTCTTATAAAAGTCTTAATTACAAATATTAAATAACATCAGAAATGCTTTGTTTGTTAAAGTTGTGTATTTGATTTCACATATGTTCGTTTTAAGGAGCCCTGATGGAATAATGATTTGCATTCAATCGCAAACCCCACGGTCAGCAGTTCAAAACCACCAGCTACTCTGAGGGAGACTGCTTTATACTCCCATCAAGAGCTACACTCTTGGTAGCCCACTGAGGCAATTCTACCCTGGCACATAGAGTTGCTGTGGGTCAGAATGTACTCTGTGACTCTGAGTTTGTTTGTTTGTTTTGAAGTTTGGAAGCTTCACATGTAAAGGGTTTGTAGCTCATTCAGTTTTTTTATTCCAAATTTTGATCTATATACTAGTAGAATGTAAATATTTATTAAATTACATAATTCTTTTTGTATTTGATGAACCATGTGAAATCATCTTACATCTTGCTTCCTAGAGCTTTTATATCTCATACTCATAAAGCATTTTATATGAGAGAAAATGATTAACAGCAGTATATGGGAAGAAGAAATGATTTAAAACAAATAATTTGGAGGAGGCTTTTGACTTTGATATGATAATTTAGCAATGAATTCCAGAAATTGAAATGTATATTTTAAAACAACTTATCTTGTTCTTAGGCAAACAGATTTTCAAACCATATGTTTAAAAAATTAGTTCTTCAGGTGCTGGGAATGTAGCAGACCGTGTTTTGGCTCAGCTCCTGACGGAAATGGATGGGATTGAACAGCTAAAGGATGTGACCATTTTGGCAGCTACGAATCGTCCAGATAGGATAGACAAGGTAAGAAAGAAGATATTGTGGTGCTCTTGGGAATGTTGTAAAGCCAAGAACTGGGTCATTTTATTGTGTCAGCTTGCTTTCTACTCAAACTTTTCATTTAGAGGATGCTAAAGGCTCTTAAACTAAAGGACATGGGAAGAATAAAGTAAAAAAAGTTTGCCTGTGTATATTTCTTTTGTTCAGTATAAAATGTTTTGTAATTGTCGATTTGCTTTCCTCTGTTGTTTCATCAAACTCAGCCTATTTCTCTAGAGAATTGAAATTCTCAGATTTCTTTTTGTTGCTTTCAACTTAGGGTTCTTGATAAATTATCAATACTTTTGTCCAAATGTTTAAGGTAAATGTCTGACTATTTAGTACTAATTAGACCAAGTTACCAGCAGGAGCATTCTAGAAGTCATAGCCTAACAGTTGCTTACAAGGTAATTAGAACAGAAATGACAGTGGGTTCTATTTTATGTTACTTTGGTTAGGACATAATATTAAGTTGTATAGGTTAAAAATAAGCTATGTCAAGCTATTACTGTTATGTTCTTTCTCAGGGCCTAGTTGAATAAAGTTCACTAATTTTAGAAGTACCCAACTTATATTAGTATATATAAAAACTTCTCCAGAATTTACGTGGAGATTAAAAATCTACTCCCGAACATAAAATAGTGCCTTTCTTTTGGTTAGCACTAAACACGTGGTATCAGATGGACTGTGTGTTCAATGTGTATTCTTCCTCTAAGCTGTGTACTTGTGGCAGAATCTTCTTCTTCATAGTTATAACGCCGAACCCATATTTCCTTATTGGCTGTCAGATGAGAGCCACGCTCACTTCCTAGAGGCCGCCTACATTCGTTGTCATCCTCTTCTGTCTTCAAAGGTAGCAGTCGACTCTGTCCTATTTCATTCCTTTCATGCTTCAAATGTCCTTCACTTGAAAAATCTCCTTTCTCTGGAAAAAACGAAGCCTAGTGTTAAAGAATTGGTTATAATTTCTGGAGACCCTATGATTTACATAACAGCACTGTTTCCTAGGTTTCTTGCTTATAATCTTTCTTGCAGTAGGGCGCCAGGAGTTCTCTTCCAGTGGCACCATTGGTAGGCCCAGAACCACTAACCTTTCAGATGGTAGTTGAGCACAAACTGCTGTTTACAAACGTCTTCGGAAAAAAAAAAAAAAAACAACCCAGTCCTTTTGAAATGCTCACCTGGTCAGGGTAGGCCCACTGAGGGAAATATCTCGTAGTCAGCACATTCAGAACTTTAATTACATCCACAGAAGTCCTTCATAGTAGCATCTAGAGAATGTGTCCAGCAGAGGACAGGAACTAGGGAGCTACCCTAGAATTCTGCCTACCACTGTGCTCGTCATTCACTCTCACCCTTACCTCCTCTGCTGTCAACAAAGGACAAGTTTTTACACTGAGACCAATTTATCTTTGCCTGTCATATTATTGACTGTAGTCCAGTTTCTTAGAAATGCCCTTACTCTCAGGAATCGATCTCATCTTAAATAGCTTTCTTTGCCTTACTTTGTCCAAATACTATTTCTTTCACTTGTACATATATATGTGTGTGTGTATATATATATATATATATATATGAATTTAAACTCACTTTTCCCCACTCTTTTATTTTTAATCATCTTATTGGGGAACTCTTAACAAATCTTATAACAGTCTATCATTCAGTTGTGTTAAGCACACTTGTACATATGTTGCTATCAACATTTCCCCAACATTTTCTTTCCACTTGAGCCCTTGATATCAGCTCCTCTTTTTTCCCTTCCCTCCCCTATCCCCTTACCCTTGTGAATCCTTGATCATTTATATATTATTGTTGTTATTTTGTGGCTTACACTGTCTGTTGTCTCCCTTCACCCATATTCCTGTTATTCGTCCGCTTGGGGGGTGGGCTATATATCCAACCTTGCAATGGGTTCCCCCTTTCTCTCCTTTCCTCTCTGCACACCCCCACTATCCCCTTACGCTCATGATATCACTAGAATAAGTTTTTCCCCACATTCTTTTTAGACAAAACACATTGAAAGCCTGATATTTGAGATAATAGAATTGTTAACTTGTAATGTTTTGCTTACTATTTTTTCTGTAAAATCTAAATGGACTCCCAACTGCTGTGTTCCTCATTAAGTTGCAATGTAGCCTAGTTCTCATTGATACCAGGAACAAAAAGCCTAGAGAAGTTTATAAGATAAATGTAAAGATTAGACATTATTCTTAAGCACTCTAAGGCTTTGGGTCTAATTAATTTTATAAAGATCATATAGAATAAATTTAAAAGCACAAAGTTACTGACAAGTGATTTCCATTTTCTTTAGAATACTTTAGCCCGAGGACATCTTCGATATTTTACAAAATGCTTAGACTTGGGTGACTAAAGAAGGATGGAAGTAGTTCTTCTTTTATTTCAGGTTGTTTACTGCCTTATAATAAAGGTCTGTAAGGGTCAGGCCCTGGGCTGATCTTGGACATCCAGCAATCAGACCTAGTCCCTGCCTTCTTGGAGCTTGTCAGCATGTGGGGAGAGAAAGCGCCTACGCAGATAATCAAATAAAGATCACTCATAATAAAAAAATAATAATAATAATAAGGGTCTGTAGAAGACAGGTTGTATGGTCCGTTCATAGTAACTCATAACTGACAATGTTCAACACTACAGTTTAAGAAATTTTTACAGAATATGTTGCCCAAATTTTAGGCATTTTCTCTATCCTTTATAAAATATTGGTTTTAAAAACCTAATTGTCATTAAAAACAAACAAACAAAACCTAATTGTCAAAATATTTTTAAATACACATATTCAAACCTGCTAACAACTTGCCTAATTAAGCTTTTTTTTTTCAAGAAACTTTGTCCAGAGAAAAGCATCTACAAATGTGTGTGCGTGTGTGTGTGTGTGTGTAACTAAAGGGTGGGATTCAGCAGGTTCACACCAGTTCAACAGACCTGATACCTTAATTTTTTTTTAGTTCAGTGAACTTATTGATAAAATGGTGCTTGTAATCGGGGTGAGTTAGTTAATTGTGCCAGCCTGGCCGATAATCACATGTGGGGCTGGTTGAAAGGCAGAGGGATAAATGGGTGGTGAAGCCTCGCCTTTCTAGTTCTCGGGTCTCTTGTTTTGTGATGGTTGCATCGGGTGCAGCTGCCTTAGCAGTTCCCTGCTTCAGCTTGCAAGATGGACTTCCTACAAGACATCCCCAAGGAGAAGCCGCATGGATCTATCCCGATGCAGCCCTGGGTGCTGGAGCAGCCGTGTGGAGACCCTTGCCAGTGCTGAGATGCTTACACGTTCACGGACTCAGCTTTCCTCCTGCAGTCGGCATCATTGCCTCTGTTTTGTGAGGTGGAGGACTTTGTGGACTGGTGTTGGGTTAATGGGTTAATGTTGGACTTGTGGGCTTGGGCAGCATTGGGTTGGGATGTTTTCGTGATGCACATTTTCTTTGCATAAAACTCTCTCTTATACATGAGTTGCTGTGGATTTGTTTCTCCAAAGTACCTAGACTAATACACGGGGTTCTCTCTAAAGAGAACCCAGCTGAGCCCAGTGTGGACATTACAGAATTTACATTCCTTGCTCTTTTGTAGCATTCATCTGCGCAACAGCATTTCTAGGCCTCTAGTAATGTCATTCTGTCCATAGGTATAGAAAAGTAAACAGAACTATACTTGTAATATTTATTCATTACACAAAACTTGTTATACTTTTGATAAAATACAGTTTCCAAACCTTACTTTTGTTACTTCAGTAAATAAACATAGGACATAAAGAGGAAAAGTAAGCCCCGAATCCCCCTGAGATATGAGTGAATTGTGCAGTTCCTGAAAGTATTCAAAAGGCTAAAAATACTGTTAGAACACACTCTAAGTTCAGCGGAAGTGGGAAAGGATTTTTCAAAGATGAATATACTGCTTTTAGAGAAGAGGAGCCATCTGTTTCTAATATGTCAAACATAATGATGGCTGTTTAATTGGCCTTTCTCTAAAGAAATGGGATCCTATGCCTACAGTGAAAAGATGTTTGTGGATAAATAACACAGCCGATGATGCTCAGTTAAGAAAGACTATTTCAAATGAGGATGTCAATTAAGAGGCAATATGGAGATATCTTAACTAATAGCTTTATTGGTTTATGTCATGTATTCTTTATATTTTCATTAGTATTTTAAAACCTACATAGCGTAATCTAGCTCAGTATACCTCTTTTATTATTTTCATATAAATATTAAATGTATGAAATAATAAACTTCCTTTCAGCATATAGTTTTTTTAATACGTAAAATGGTCATTAGGGGAGCAAAACAGATGTTAAGTTACTGTGTATATATATATATATGTATGCTTGTGTATTTATATCTATGTGCAAGCTTCACAAAGTTCATGGGAAAATGTTATTAAAAGATTTTCCAAACCAAAGGCCAAACTCACTGCTATCGAGTCAATGCTGACTTATATTGACCCTCTATGGTTCCCCAGACTATAACTTTTTTATGAGAATAAAAAGTCCAATCTCTCTCCCTTGAAGCTGTGGGTGGTTTCAAACTGCTGACTGTGTGGATCATAGCCCAACTCCTAAGAACTACAAACATATATACTTAGATTACTTCTGAAAAATAGAAATCCAGCTTTTTAAGCTGTTAGTTTTTAGATCAACCACCAGTCGGTCAGTTTGTTGTACTGTGCTGGCTTGTGTCTTACCGTGATATGAGAAGCTGGAAGCTATGCCACCAGTATTTCAAATATCATCAAGGTCACCTATGGTCACCAAAAAGGCCAAAGTGGATATCAGAAGAGATTCTAGAACTTACTCTTGAGCATAGAGTAACTAAAGCAAGTGAAGGAATTGATGCAGTAAAAGTGCTGAAAAGAAAACTTCAAAAGGCTGGGAGAGAAGACAGAATATATGAAGTGAGCAAAGTCCTATGGGTTCATATGCTAACTGCAGGAGCAGCAGTTTGAAACCACCTGCCATTCCTGAGGAGAAAGAT